TGCTTCTTTGGGATGTTTAAAATTAAGAGGATTTAATTGTTGCATGAGTTGATTACTCTTGTGATGTGTATGCAGGGTGTTTGAAAAATAAATTATTTTTTAATTTCTGGGACAAGGTAAATGTCAAGATTGACTTGACTGAACTAACTTGACTAAAGCGACGGTCACCGATCAGCGCAATAGTAAACAAAAAGAAGATAAAAAAAGACAAAAAGTTACACAAGTTTCCCTGTGAGAACTGCGTAACGCGCACCTACGCGTTAATAATCATTAATCTACTAATTATCAACGAGTTCTTTTAATAGCCTGGAAAACGTTGCAACGTTTAATTAGTAGTGTCACGGATATCATGCTGCCCTAGTTCTCAAACAATTCACTAGCTCCTAATTGTTAGCCATTGGCCTGTGCGACAAACCTACGTCTAAATTAATCCTCGTACGACAAACGAGTTCCATCCTTGAACTCGCATAGAAGCTTATATTTTTAAACTTAAAGGTTTATGATACTCGGCTTCCATTTCGTGGCGAAATGCGCCATAGTGACGGAGTTAGGACGCAGGACCTGTTGGTCCGCTTCCGAATTTTTCCCCCTGCGTTTCGTTCGATGAATAAAAGATCGGCTAAACGATCCGAAGAGGTTCGGTTGGACGTTCGGAAATGATGTTGGCGGCCATCGCAAATTATTCTTGCTCGAGGATGCCGGTAGCCGTGGAAGAATATCACGCTAGCTACCCAGAAGGAACACGTTTTATTCTCGTTCATCGAATGGCCGAGGGATCGGCCCTCCTAGACCCGGCTTGGACGAGGCAATTATTTGAAAATTACTCTCGAACCTATCCGCTTTCTTGGGCTTCGTTTCAAAACGAAAGTTATTCCTACACGCGAGACCCATCATCATTCAACCCCTTTCGATCCGATGGTTCACCATGGAATTCGATTCTTCTTCGCTGCTTTATTTATTCTTCTTGGATATTGTTCGAGAGGATGCTGGGAGAGTATGGAATTTAATCGATGCTAATAAAACTATGCAGATTACGTTTGACGTCGTAGGATCTTGAAACGTTGGTTCGTGAATCCTCCATCCGTGTCTGGCCTCTTCGGACCTCTAACCCTTCGGTACCTTCCGAGAAAACTATTTTATTGATTTTGCCGGAATGTTGGAAGAGGTATTTACACAGATTACAGTAATGTTCGCAGCCTCCGTGGAATCTTAGCTTCTTAAGCCTGTTTAAGAGATTAATGACAGACCGTTCGAGAGTTGTAAAATATTGATAACGTGGAAATAAAAATTCTCCTGCTTTTTCCAAGCAACCGCAGAACTGAACAATTACTAGGCGGAAACGGGGAACGTAAACGGCGGAAGCGCAACGTGGACGTTGCAAGAGTTCAAGCTTTTCGTTTCCATATTTTTCCAATGATCCGTATCAATCTGTCGATTACACCAGAGTTACCCTATCGATGGAAAAAAGGCTCGTTAAAAAAAATACAGGAACGAAAACAAGTAACGTCAGCGAATCAAGATCAACGATATCTAAAGCTCGGTTCCAGCGAAACAGCTTGACGTGCCGCTATTCGAAAGCTTAAATCGTGACAATGAGGCGTGCACGTATATCACAGGTCTGTATAAAAGTTAACAGTCGCTAAATAATGCAACGAAACCGGTGATCCCCTGCTATCGATAACCGTCAGCCCAGTTAATACTACTTTGAGGAGTATCGATAACGTAACAACTGCGTATTCCCACGAATACTTTCTGGAAGAGAACAAAAAAAATTGTGTTATCATACAGTCGAATGTCATATATATTTCGTGATGTGCAACGTCCTCCCTTCGTCACGGAAATCGCGAACACGAAACGAGACGCCGTCGTTGACTGGACGCCATGTTGCTGAAATACTGTTAAAGGCAACGGGAAATCGTAACGAATATTTGGTGACTTCCGCTAATTGGTATAGTCTGGAAGCGATCGAAAGTAGGACTCGGAAATATAGTTCAAGTATACGAAGTTGGAACTCAAATTTGGTATTTGAATATTGGAATGCGTGAATTATTTGAGAATACTCGAATTCTCCGCATTCTACTGATACTTGAACGCGTTGATATGCAATGTCGCCATGTGACACTATGTGGAGATATATGGCCTTATAATGCGTATAGTAATATTCAGATATTTATAGAATTTCGCTACCATTGCTAAGCAAAGATGGAAGTAAAATTCCGACTTGGAATTCCGACATACCTGACATTCGGATTTTCGCAGCCCTATTCGGGGGACAGGTAAGCGAAGCTCCGTGCAAGAACGAAAAGAAGAAAGAAACGACTGTCAAGATTGAAGCGGTAAGATTAGCGAGGGAAGCCAATCTGAGTGTGAGCAGGTTTGAGCAACACCTCCAACGGTGTGGAAATCGCGGGCAAAGCGGGTGCAGTTTGCGGAATACCGGCGAATGGTGGTTCCCGTCGGATCAGGACTGGTCTGCGGAGCGACAGGGAGAAAGAGAAAAGGGGAAAAAAGTCAGAATATCGGGGAGGGGGAAGAAAAAAAAATCGAGAAAACGAAGGAATGCACGCGACCAAGATGGCGCCGCATTGTGTGCGCACTCGACGGACAGGGAGCACGAAACAGGAATGGAAGCCGCAACAGAATGGGGATAATTGCGTTGGAAATGCAGCAAGGCTCCTCCCCTTATTCACAACCTAAAGGCTTGCAACTGCAAGTGCCAAGCTGCTCACTTTACGGCGTGCACACATGACACGTTCGACCACTGGCGACGCGAATAACCCCGATACAACGATCTCCGTGTGCTCCGCCTTGCATCGTCACGCTTCTACGTGGCTTGTAAGCCTTACCAATTATTTCCATATTTCCCGTAATTACCTATTTTCGTTTCTTTATTGCAACGCACTCTCATTAGCGGACGTAGCCTTTTTTAGAGGCACCCTTTTGGGCAAATTTTTAGCAAAATGATACATTCGATGTGGATGTTTTGTTCACACGATGTTCTAATTCAGAGTATTATTGCCACGAAATAAGCTTCGATAGTGGCGTCAAAAGTTGTCACAAGACCAGTGCACTCTTGGAAAACAACCCATGCTTTGAATGATACAAGGGAGAGATTTCCTCATACTGGTTTCACCTTGAAATAATACTTGAGAGGCCATCTTGTACAACTAGAAATGATACTTTAAGACCTCGTTCCTTTTATATGTCAAACTTATAAGTCAAACCTTTCCTATTTATAAGACCTCAGCTCTTTCAGCTGATGCTCGTGAATGTTGCTTTAAACTTTAATTAGTAATCTGCCTGAGTAGTAACGTAAATATAGTAGTAATATTAAAGTATGAGTTTATTCTAATTTGCGCGATAAAATGACCCTCTTCAGTGATAAGATTTGTGACGTTGCGGTTACTAGATGGTCCCTGCTTTAATTAAGCGCTGACGGGCATTACCATACTCCAATGGTTTCCTCCGCTTGATCGATTAATTCTATAGATATTATCAGTAATTTATTCTCCTTCGTCGGGATAGTTTTTTCACTGACTCACGGAATTTAATTAATAGTAACCATAAGCGCGAGCTTTGTCGCTTGCATGATCTTCCTACTTGGTAAAATGTTGGAGCAACTTTTTATACAATCACACGACATCTACCAGCTGACATATTTATCAACCGAGTGATTTGCCCAGTCACCAAAATGTTGAACGACATTTTCACTAATAGCCGAGTTATTAATTACTCTATTAGTTTGTCGAATGATAAATGATTAACCGCGATGTAAGGAGTTTTAATAAAAATGGTAATGGACGTTAACGATTTGCGATTATACCATGCAACGAACTTTTCTTCTTCGATAAAATGGGACTCGGTGAAAAATTAATTACGCTTGGACGCAGTATGTAATTACACGCAACTGTTGGTAAATTTTGTCGTCATTACGAATCTCGTTCGTGCGTGGAAACTTAATTAACTTCTGCGTTCAGTTAATGGTAAATTAATTGTCTCGTATTTGGATAAGGGCGCACTATTTGCGAGAGGAAAATGTCAAATAGAAACTTTAAAATAAAACGTGAATTTGATAGTTAAGCTTTTAAGTGCTTTGAGGAAAATATTTGCTAAATTATAATTCGTATTTGTTGCGCAAAATCAAGAAAGGTACTCGTTCCGCAACCTAACGGTGAGTGAAGGTAATATTAAAATAGACAAGTGAGTTTTCCTTTGAAATTAGCAATTTTCACGATTTTCTGGGAAGAGTAAATTGTTTTATAATATCACTAAAACAGTAACAATGTCATCATAAGTTTTTAAAAATGTTAGGAACAAAAATTAAAAAAATATGGACTAAAAAGTCATCAAGCATCTAGCGGTGAAGGGTGCGAACTAACGGAACTACATTTCAATACGTATATTTGTGATAATTGACTTTTTCCGATATTCTAAGACTTGTAAATTAATCTGAAGATTATTAGCAATGATTTCTGAAGAATATCGAAGCCTTTTGTTGTCTATTAAGCCGAAAAAATGGATTTTAATTAGGGCTGTAGGAAAATGGTACTAGTGGCGCCATCTCTCCGGCGAACGGGGTGAACTACACACTTTTGAAACAGCTCCTTCGTTAGTTCCTATCCGCCACCACCAGGTGGCGCCAGGATCATCATTTTTTATCCACAGAGTCGTTGGTCAAGTCGAGTTCTATAGTTTCTGCCTCATGTGCGCCACCTGGTGGTAAAAAAGAGAACTAATTAAAGTGCTGTTTCAAAAGTGCGTAGTTCACCCTATTCGCCGGAGAGATGGCGCCACCAGTTCAATTTTCCAAAAACCCCTTTTTTATACGTAAAAATGTAAATTTGAGCCACCCAAATGATAATGTGACCTTAAATATACTATAAAGATATTAAAAAAAAATATTATTCCATGAAAATTAAATGTAAAGCCCTTATTTGTGATATACTACACGTATCTATTTAGGGGTAGGAGGTATTACACATTAAAATAAAGAACGTTAATCATTTTAATATCACTTTATTGACTACAGACATACTTAAACCGAAATACTGTTAAACAATCTATCCACACCCTCCATAAAGTTTCCAATTCTCTACATTCAGAACACGTTTTTCTTATGCTGCCAGGGTATATAACTATAAAATAAATTAAAAAGTTTGCAGCACCATATAGTTTGCGGCACATAATCGATGCGCCAAAAAGGCTTAATAATTACAAAGAACAAAGCTCGAATAATATCGAGGTACCGTAGGAGTTTAAGAATTTTCCCCCCATTAAATACGGGCAAAGAATCTTAGTTGAGCATATTCTCGCATTCTTTCTCTTTTTTCCCTCTTTCACTCTCTCTCTCAGTTCATACACATTCACTCTCAAATATGAAGGTATCTAAGGATTAACGATACATATAAATTGCAATTAATTAATTTTCTCTAGCATACTTTAAATTCCAAGGTCTTGTCAAAAAAATGCAGCAAATGTTACCAACGAATCACGACAAATTTAGACCACTCTGTTTCAATTCCTCATCTTTTGAAAGAAAGATCATTGGCTGCATTTTTTGTGTCTTCGAACATCTTACAGTGCATGATAAAAACAACAATTATAACAAATTCTTAATATATGAACGAATTCGTTAACATCCGTAATTTTTCTCGCTCCCTTCAAATAGCTTGTGCGTAAATTCGCACGGTATACCGTGCAATACAAACGAAAACGTGAAACGATATGAAATAAACGAGGATTCGGGGACAATTTCTTCTCTTGATGGCTGAACACTGCAATCGAGTAAGCGCAAATCAAGTCTTCATCGAACGAAACTCAGACTTTAAAGGAAGTGCACGTTTGTCTTAAAGATGAAAAAGGTTCTCTCTGTTCCTAGTCCGACATCTTCCGAACAGAAGCATATAAAAGCGAACAGTTATCACACGCTAATGCTCGACAGCGTTTCGTTACAGATATTAGTCAACCGGACCTTATCTACCGTTTTTACAAATATGCGCAGCATTTCGAGTTCTAGTTTCCGTGAAAAACACCCGACAGTATCTTTGCGGTTGTCAACTACGTCGTATTAAACAAATTACGGAAAGTTTCAAGTGGCACTAGTCCATAGTTGCCTGAGTAAGTTTAGTTGACTAGAATTCATTTCTTTTTCATCAAACCTGGTCGTGAGAACAAATCCCTTTACAAAACATCGAGACTACGGTTTAGAAAAGCTTAGAAACGGAATTCCATGCCATTTGGATACATCGACACCGCGTGTCTCTTTCGGTAAAATCTATTGATCCTAAGTACACCTTGCTCTTCCGACATCGTTGAACTCTTCGTTATCATAAACATATAAAAACTCGGTCCGAATCTTACTGACCTGAGCAACGTCATGCGAAAACTTTGAGGATACGAAAGCATTAACGTGAATCTATGAATGGATGCCCGTGAGCAACGGTGCTATTTATGATAAACCATCAAGTATTTAGGAATTACTCGCTTCAACCCTTTACAATCCACTAAAAGTAAAACTGTACTTAAATAAAACATATCATACAAGTACGATTTATAAATGGAAATAATCTATAAAGTCTGTGGAGCGCAAAGGGTTAGTTAACCCTTTCGCTGCTGGGATTAAACCAATTTAATATATCTTTTGTAACCGACCTTACAGCGATTAACTATTATACAACACGTTACATTATATGTACATAGTCAAAGCTATATCTTGGTCTCGTCGCTCGACCGCGAAACTAAAATTGCAATAAATGCGATTCAACCGCTTGAAAGCTTCATGGCTCGATACAAAGCAAGAAATTAATCCGATCGTATATGCGTCATTAGCAGCAAAAGGGTCAAAAGGATGCTCGAACGTAAATTTCGTTCGTATCACGAGGCAAGTATGTACAAACGATCCGGATAACGTCGTTACCTGCATTATGCTTGACGCGTTTATACGCGTTCGGTGACACTCGCTGCTGATCACGTAACGTTACACTTTGTCGTGCACGTACGTCGATATAGAAATCGATTATGCTCGAAGGAAACCGACGCTAGTCTTATTCCTTGATACGATCAGCAGCTGTTCCTAAATTTCATGCCACCTTCTTCTTACTTGTCTTCTTGCTGCGGGGGAGAGTAGCGAAGCTGGTTATCTGAAAAAATAATTTCGACTCTTCAGGAAGAATACTCGAGTTGCTTAAACGATCGTAGCGGGTCTTTTTTACTTCGAAACAAGAGAAGCGTCAAACACGACACTGTAAAAAGCTGTAAAGAGTCGCATTCTTGTATCTATTCTATCCGCAAACCTTTATCCACCCGTGTACATACGTCGCTACTATTACGTTAATGTCACAACATGCTGGGGGCACAATAGGAACACTCGTTAAGCGATTAGTGATCAAAGTAATCACAAAACACTCTAGAAATCATTTTCATACGATCTGAACGAATCAATCCGTTTCTCTTCTCCAGATATCCAGTATGGTAACGTGATTACAGAGTGAGGAGGATGTGGAAGGATCAATGACAAGGGGTTTATTCGATTTGCCTATAAAACCAGTCAAACAGACCCGTCTAACTCTTACATCTTACATCACGTTCCTAAAAAGCTTCTTAATAAATGTCTGATTCCAATCTTTTCCCAGCTTTAGGCGACTGGGACATCTCTCTGATCGTTGATTCCGAATTAGTCGCAACTGGCTTTGTCTCGTCAATGTCTTTGTTCTCTTTTTTAATCTCATTAGCCTCGTCGTTCGACGCCAGAATATAACTGCCCGAGCTGTTCGACGTATCGTTCTCGCTCTTATCGTCAGCATTCTCTCGATGCGACTTCGGCGCCAGTTCTATGATAGTCTCTTGCGATTCGATGCTGTTCGATCTGGACTCGCTAGTCTCCGAGACAGAATCTTCGGCTTTAACACCTTTCTGTTCTTTAGAAAAAGCATTGTGAAAGATGTTTTTCGGAATCGTCAATAATTTAGAGAAGCCTTCCTTCGTACGCTGTCTCTTAGACTTTTTACCTTTGGGCTTTCCATCCGTGGCGTGAGCGATGAACACGTCCTTCGTGCTGCTGATGTTCGAAAACGTCTTCACGGTTCCGGTTTTAATTACCAAAGTGGCTTTCAGCGCGTTCTGAGAATCGGTTTCGTCCATGTCTTCTTCGCTTTTCGCGAGGGGAGCCTTCGGTGCTGGCTTCTTGTGGTACTTCCCCGCTCTATTCGCGTCTTCGTACTCCGAATCTACCTTGTTAATCGAATCTTCCGTTTCCGTAGATAACTGTGTATCTTCCGAGGTTTTCAAGGGTACAACGATCTTTGTATCCTCTTTCTTTACGTCCACGTTCGACGAGTCGGTCTCTGTGATACTTGTACCGTCGTGTTTCGATTCCTGAGTGTACACGATGCTGCTCACAGCTTTGTGAGCATCGCTGAGAAGTTGCTTCAGCTCGTCAAATTTGTTCTGGCACAGCTCGTCGCTTATGGAGTGACTTAATTCTTTATTAGACTTTTCGAGAGATGGTCCCTCGTTCGTAAGAACTGCAGCCACGTTGATCTTTGGTTCAGCTTTGTCTTGAGCCTCAGTCTGTTCTATCTGTGCGTGCACCGTGTCATTGGTAGACGGTTGTTCAGCGACAGTTTTAGTCTCTATACTCTGAATTACTTGCACCTCTGCGATCGGAACAGGTTCGCTTGATTTCGATTCCATTCCGCATGGTTGCGGGCCTGATTGACTGGTATTTTCGAGCGAATCGTCGTTACCTGCGAGAAAGGGGCGACCGAGTTTGATATAATCAGCAACATTGCTGTTTTGCGAGAGCAGAAGCAGGATCTCGAGAGCTTGTTCAGGAGTCACGTGAGTCAAAGGTGTCGGAAATGAGATGTTTTTGAAGGAAGGAGGATCGATGCCGCCGGTATCTTCTCCCGAGTCCTTCCGGTTCCATAGAAAATTGACAACGTATTACATGACGGAACGATTCGAATAAATTTTTACTTAAAATCGAATATTCCACGTAAACTAGAATTAAATCTTGACTCGAGTTCTTGTAGGGACTGGCTCGGAATGTAGTACCTCTGGTGTTTTCTTCGTGGTAGAACGCGGTTTTGCGCGTGTTCTTGCCCCGACGCTCGACGTCCGAACTAACGAGTCACCCTGTGACGTACGAGTGGATTGCAGCGCTTCCCCGCTGCTGTAACCGCTGGAGATATCGTCCGAAGACCTTATATTACTGAAATTAAACGTAGACGTCAACGATCTCGCATTGTCGAGGATTATGATCGTAAGAGGATATACGTACGTTAAGCTAGCCGTTGGTTCTCTGGATCTCGGTTGTCTGACGTCGACGTCCACCTCGGAGAAATACAGCTCCATGCGGTTACTACTCGATTGAGTTCGACGAGGACTATAACTTCTTCTCCCGACGTGTTCTCTTCGACGAGGCTCCACTGTAAATCGTGGACAAATTACGTACGAACTTAAGTCTAGCACTGTCTATCTATTAGCAGGGGACTGTTGTATAACTCGAAGCATCGACTATATACATATGTACAATTATGATTAGGTACAAAGATAGATAGCTACGCTATTTCTGTCTTTGTACGAGATCCAGGCTATTGTTTCGAGGTGTAGGAAACACGTTTGATATTTGCAAGAATTGGCAAGCGCTATAATCGGCCAATAACCTTCCATGTCCGTCTCGTCGTGCATGTGCGGCGTGTTTCTATTCTCGTCCTCCTTCTCGCCGGTCAGGTCGCTTAGGCTGTAGCTTTTCTTCAGATGTTGCACCAAACCACCACCACCCTGAAAAACCAATTCCCCGTGTTTTTCAACGTTCACACGGATCGACATGCGGTTTCACCCTTTCGTTACGATATTTTTTTTAAAATAGTTCATCAAAAATAGTTCGCGTGGTAGCGATAGTCTTCGCAATGGCTATAGTTCGAATATAGGTGTTTCGTAACGAAAGTGCAAAGAAATCAGAGATACGAATCGATATCGAAGGTGTAGGAACGGAGAAAAGAAAAACTGAAACTCTTACCAACCCGGAAAAAAGGTGTTAATGTGTTATCAGCCATCAGCGGAGCGCGTGTACGATCTGTCCTACGTGTGGTTACCGATCGATCTAGGGTCCCGGGTTCAGCAACACGTATACGTTTTCTCGTCTCTCCTGCGTTTCTTCCCTTTTTGCGTAAACTCTAACGATAGACTCTCTCGAACTCGTTCGACAGGATTCGAAGAGTAATTCCGAGTTTCGCGAAGCGGAGAACGAAGCAAGGGTGCAACAGTTTTTATTTGTTTTGTCGACAGTTTATTCCAAAAGAAAAAAAGATGACATATACCATCGTGTGGTTGTCGCTTAAAATCTTTGGGATCGGGTATAAAAAATCTTACATTCTCTAAGAGATTAACACGGTGCGAAATTATCGTGCGACGCTTTGGTTCCACGGGAACTGTTCGTTTTCCTGAGCTAACAAAAATGTTTTATTCAAAGAAAAAAGAAAGAAAAATTGATCATTAAAAAGCGTACTATAAATGGGAGAACAGTTACCGTTATATCGCTCGTAAGTCGTCTCTTTCGCAGGTGTATCTTAAAATAACAACTATCAAAACACCTCGGTAATAACTTCTCGATTTCCTTCCTGAATTGTGCGCGAACAATAGGTACTAAGATCGGACATTTTGTAAGCAAAACGTGCGACGAGATAACAGGTGCGCTTTTCCACGTGCAAAATTTATTTAAAACCTACGCTATCGATGTCTCCCGTTATCTCAACACGCTACAGTCTTCAACTCTTTATTGACGCAATCGTAACTCGCGAATATCTCTCTTAGGCACTTCTACACCCTTTAGCTACGATAAAAGGATACTGTACCGTTTATTTAATAATCAGCTGAAGGGCTAAACGTGATTACAAAGTACAAGTTGGTAAAAGCAATACAAAACTAACAAAACGTTACACAAAGAAAATAAAAATAATTTGCTCCACTGATCGAGTCGTACACGAAAAAGAAGTCGAAAAAATTGTGTGATATATTTATTCCATGAAAAAGATACGCCGATAGACTAAGATTTGTCGAGTTAACGATATGCGACGGAATTTCTTTTCTCAGACATTCCGTCGAAAGGCACTTCGGATACCTAAGCTAAAACTCTGTCGAGCTCGCAATAGCAAAAACGCATTAGACTATCCTTAAAACTATGCAAGTTAATTCTAGGTGATATAATAAAGTGTATATATCGCAGACTTCGCGGAAAGACACACAGTTACTAATTTCAAATGATCTAAACGCTGTTCGAAAATTTCACGACCAAGCTTCGCTTTCCTCTTCGTTGAACCGTATAAACGCGATTAACTTGGCCCATCGTGAATCCCTCGTGCCGTTAACTAAAATTAAAAAAAATACCATACAACGAAAACCATCTTAAAGGGATTCACGCGGATGCTTACTAACAAATTTTTTACCGCTAACAAAGGAAATCTTTTAAAACAAACCCTCACACTGGAAGCTACTGTCCATCGAGAACTTATAAAAAAAGTAACGTCACGCCGAACCTTCCCTTTAAACTTTGTTAGGGGTTTCGCGAGTGGTTCTCACCCACGTATCTTAATACTCCGGTTTTTAATATTCGTCATCGTCGTCGCTGAATTTAAAATAATCCTTGCGACGAGATCTCGTCCATCTCTGGCTGCGTTCCGTCTGCTCCTGCATCTCGATCTCCAACCTCTTTTGCGTCTCCTTGGGTAAGTTGTAAAGCTCGTCGTCGTTATCGTCATTGTAGTCGTCGTCGTCGTCGTCCTCGTCACAGTCCTTGATCTCGTGCACGCTTGGTACCAGCTCCGCGGGCATCAGATCGTCATGGCTAGTGGTTGCTCTCGGTTTCGACGTCTCGACTTCGTCCAGCTGATCCGCTTCCTTCTGCGAGTTCCGCGGTGACGCACGCTTGGCCGAGCTAAAAACCGGCGAGGCCGATTGAGGGTCGCTGGTCGATGGATCGTTTGGCACGTTCGGGTTCGACTGCAGCAAATGCTGAATCGCCCGGGATGCAGTCGTCGACATTGTATCGGTTTTTTTTGGCACACGTCGTTTGATGTTAACGGGTCGAACACACGATGGATAGACGGATGGTACACGCACACACGGATACACACGGTGATGGTATTGTTTATTTAAAAAGCGACGATGTTTGTTAAAGGAACCCGAGATGGCGACGGTTAACCGATGTTTTGTGGTGATGACACGTGGTCGACGTCGGTGTTTTTTGTTTGTTTGGTTTTGATTAGACGACGTGCAGGATAGGCGTGCAGGGTCAACGAAAACATAAAATCAAGAAAAAAAAACATGGAATGATTAACGAGTCGACGAAGCTGTTATCGAAGCGGGTGGGTGCGAGATCGAGTGTATTAATCGATCGTTCGTGGAACGCGTACACGTGGCAGTGTCCACGAAGACGATCGATTTCGTTGTTAATGCACCGTTGAACGATGTGGGTTCGAAAGCTCGAAACTTACCTTGATGGCGGTTTGCATTAGAACCGTGGTGGCGTAATTGACACCCTTGGTGCCGAGATGTAACACCGCCGTGTAACCCTGCTCCGTCGCGCGTGCCAAAGCGTCGTCGATTTCGGCCTCGCGGCGGATCAAGGCCGGATGAACAAAGCGTCGATAGAGGATGCTCGAACCTTTGGTCGCTGGGCTGAGTAGCCATACAACTAGGATCGTCTTAATTTCATAGTAAAACGGGAACCTGAGTGGGAAACAACGGCAAACGTTACGCGACCGATCTATTCTCTGATTGCAACGGGGATGAGAGGCACAAAGAAGCCGAAGAAAAGGATCGAACGAGGAAACGAACAGAAGCGAAGCAGGAAGGAAAAAGGGAAAAATGGTGGAGGTAACGACAGATCGGAAGAGGGGAGGAAAACAGCAGGGTATTCCCGGCTAGAAATACGCGACTGTCGTGCTCTCTCTTTTTTGGTTGTAACCCGAGTACGAAAGGCGAAAGGAGAGGATCTGGCACAGCAGGGAGGAACGGCAGAAACAGAGACGGAAGACGAAACGCTGGCAGAATCCTCAGAAGTGCATGTAAGCCAATATCCATCTCGGCCGAAATTAGACTTTCGGAATTCCCGTTGGTGAGCCACGGACCGCGCGAGCGTCGGTTTATTGGCCCCGGCTACCACGAGATTTCACTCGCTTCCGGCGAAAAAGGGGGCCATGACCGCCCTCCGAACGCTCGCGCGACTTTTAACCCTTCAGCGTACGAAATTTTCGGAGGATAGGACATTTCCTGTAGGGTAGGAATTTCTTCGACCTTGACGCTTTGCTCACCAGAAACTGAAGAAAACATCCGTGAACGTTTCGGCGCAAGTGAACAGCGCGAAAACGATCCAGTACATCATCCATTTCACCTGGAAATAAAAGGGAACGTTCAGAAGTGTTACGAATTGTAAGTGGACGTATGGTAAAGGGATTAAAAGGGAAATGGCTATTTTCGAAGTTCTCAATTTTTAATTAAAAAGCTTGGGCAAACGTTTGCGGAGCGAAGTTTGCGCAAGAAACAACGTTCGATCGAAACGTTATCGGCTTCCTCGAACTTGCCTCCGAGCTAAACTCCCCTATTAATTAGGATCGTCAAACATAATCGTTTCTAATGGAATGGAATATCTGTAGTTTTCTCAGCGTGCGGCCGCGCACGATACTCACGTATTCCTTCACATTCTTCGTTCTGACCGCCTTGTAGGATGCGTAGGCCGGGTACAAATTGCCGAACACTAATCTGAAAATTGGATACAGCAGAACGTAAGTGAGCGGTCTGGGCATAAGGATAACCAGCAACGCGGCCAGGATTCGCAGTCGATCCAGGGTCATTCTCTTTGGAACTTGGTTCGCGCAGTATCGAACGCAAGAAAGGAAGCTCTCAGCGAATATTCTACGGGCACCAGTTTTACAGATTATCCAGTCGAGCGGATTTTCATCGAGATCGCTCGTTCGAGCCTCGCTCGTTTTCGTTTCCATTCCACTTCGAGCGACTACTCTATTCTCCTCTTCTGAACGCTTCGCGAGCTATCGAGCCTCGAACGCTTTTCGACGCTCGTCGTACGATTCGACGCATCAAACTGCAACATCGAAAGTTAAGTTCCCTTCAAAATCGATTTCACCGTCTACGTAGCTTCTTTCGCTTACGCGTTCGAAGATGGACGACTCGTTGCAAAGACGATCGATACAATCGTTTTCGGAACTGCTAATCGTTTGCAATCGTATTTCTTTCGTAAGCTGTTAATTTGCAAAACCGAGTCTTTCGTTGACTATTCTATTAGAACGATCGAAGGATTCTTGTCGAACAAGATACGATCGAATCAAAGTGTGAACCAAAATAATTTCTTGCACAGAAATGATCAGAGGCACTTTGAAAAGACACGATCGCAAACGATCGAGACTGATCAGATTAATTAGCAACGATTAGAGAAAATTCGTGAGTGTTCCGGCGAAAAAGGGGGCCATGACCGCCCTCCGAACGCTCGCGCGACTTTTAACCCTTCAGCGTACGAAATTTTCGGAGGATAGGACATTTCCTGTAGGGTAGGAATTTCTTCGACCTTGACGCTTTGCTCACCAGAAACTGAAGAAAACATCCGTGAACGTTTCGGCGCAAGTGAACAGCGCGAAAACGATCCAGTACATCATCCATTTCACCTGGAAATAAAAGGGAACGTTCAGAAGTGTTACGAATTGTAAGTGGACGTATGGTAAAGGGATTAAAAGGGAAATGGCTATTTTCGAAGTTCTCAATTTTTAATTAAAAAGCTTGGGCAAACGTTTGCGGAGCGAAGTTTGCGCAAGAAACAACGTTCGATCGAAACGTTATCGGCTTCCTCGAACTTGCCTCCGAGCTAAACTCCCCTATTAATTAGGATCGTCAAACATAATCGTTTCTAATGGAATGGAATATCTGTAGTTTTCTCAGCGTGCGGCCGCGCACGATACTCACGTATTCCTTCACATTCTTCGTTCTGACCGCCTTGTAGGATGCGTAGGCCGGGTACAAATTGCCGAACACTAATCTGAAAATTGGATACAGCAGAACGTAAGTGAGCGGTCTGGGCATAAGGATAACCAGCAACGCGGCCAGGATTCGCAGTCGATCCAGGGTCATTCTCTTTGGAACTTGGTTCGCGCAGTATCGAACGCAAGAAAGGAAGCTCTCAGCGAATATTCTACGGGCACCAGTTTTACAGATTATCCAGTCGAGCGGATTTTCATCGAGATCGCTCGTTCGAGCCTCGCTCGTTTTCGTTTCCATTCCACTTCGAGCGACTACTCTATTCTCCTCTTCTGAACGCTTCGCGAGCTATCGAGCCTCGAACGCTTTTCGACGCTCGTCGTACGATTCGACGCATCAAACTGCAACATCGAAAGTTAAGTTCCCTTCAAAATCGATTTCACCGTCTACGTAGCTTCTTTCGCTTACGCGTTCGAAGATGGACGACTCGTTGCAAAGACGATCGATACAATCGTTTTCGGAACTGCTAATCGTTTGCAATCGTATTTCTTTCGTAAGCTGTTAATTTGCAAAACCGAGTCTTTCGTTGACTATTCTATTAGAACGATCGAAGGATTCTTGTCGAACAAGATACGATCGAATCAAAGTGTGAACCAAAATAATTTCTTGCACAGAAATGATCAGAGGCACTTTGAAAAGACACGATCGCAAACGATCGAGACTGATCAGATTAATTAGCAACGATTAGAGAAAATTCGTGAGTGGAGTCCGCTGGGCAGTTCTCACGAACGCGACGCACTTGTTGCATCGTTGCTCGAGCGAGAGAATCGATCGGAAAGAATCGCACGCTCCACACTGTTCGATCGAGGAGATGGTGTCGATCGGTGCCTTGTTCCGCACGCGGATGCTTCCAGTTAAAGACTAAACGTACAGCTGCGTTCTGGCAGCGTCGCCTGCACCGACGACTCTATTTTCGCGTCTTAAGGCGCTGTCGCGCGATGGAGCCACGAAATCGAGGCGAGCCTGGAAGCGATAACGAGTTTGCTTCTGGTTGAATGAACCGATCGGAAAGAATTAATTATTACAAAGTAACAGAGTGTCACGGACCACCATTAAACAGTTAATTTACAGACTCTCGAATTTAAGATCGCACTTTGAATAACGAAACAGAGAGATTCGCGGTGCGAGCTTCTTCCAGCGAGAATCGCGCGAAACTACAGTCGATTGCGCTTCGCAGGTAATTCGATGATTGTCACCAATGTCGTTGTCATAAATTGCGTAACAGGGCGTCCTTTGTGCGCAGTCGGTGGATACTATCCGCGCGTTAACGAGCTCGGAATTCTCTTTTTGCGTTTATTTCGCGTAGATTCTGTGGTCGATCGACATCCGATAACTCCTTGACAGAGGACGAGTCGACAAACAGCTGTTTAACCTCCGAGGCTGGTATAAGCTTACTTTAATCGAGTAATTCGATTAAGGAGGTCCGATGAGGAATAAAACAGAGGTGAGCTAGCGGCCCAAATGCTTCGGCAAACCTACTCGTCACGAAATTAGAATACATACCGGGTCAACTGGTTCTGAATCTATAAGCGTGACTGCTGTTTATAAATATCGAAGC